GGGGGGGGTTGCTATCTTTGAACCAGAAAAAAACCAAATCATACACTAAAAGTCAAACACCTACTATAACATATTTTTATTTTATTACAAAAAATATTTTGTCATGATTTGTGTTTGCGTACTGTATATAGAGGTGATCAAATAATAACTAAAAAAGATTATTAGTTTTGTATGTTGCATGGGGGTGGGGTTGGGGGATGTGTGTGTGGGGGTGTGTGTATGGGGGGTGTGGGTGTATGGTGGGCTGTGGGGGGGTTATGAGGGGATGTGGCTGTGTGTGCGGAGCATAGGTTATGTTGGGGGGTTGTGGGGGTTGAGTGTGGATATGTGGCATTTGTGGGATGAGGGAGGGTGGGGAGGTGTGGGGTCCCCCCCCTACTCTCTCCCCATGCTTCAGGAGTGGCGGGAGCGCTTGTGCCAAGTAGTACGTGGCTCCAGCCAGTGCTTCACATTGCGGCAAGGAACTCAGCCCTTGCCAGGCCATCTCTATTGCCGGCACTCCCCATCACACACGTGTAGCCCCTGCACTCATGTGGCACAGGAGGGAAGCCCCATGCTCTGGAGTCAGTTGCTGTTGTCACTCCCTGTCGTGCAGGTCCTGGGAGGGAAGGCACCCAGCTCCAGGATGTGGGGCATCCCACCTGTGCCACACAAGTGCGGGGGCTGCTCTTGTGCTGTGGGGAGCATGAGCGAAAGAGGTGGCCTGGTGGTGGCTGCACACTCCACCACAATGTGCAGCACTGGCTGGAGCCGCATGCTGCCAGGCACCAGTGCCAGGCACAAGCGCCCAAGTGACCCTGCCTGCTGCTGCTGCTGCTGCCTGCAGAGGCTGCGCACCATGGGTGGAGTATGGGGGAGGGATGGGACCTACATCCCCCCCATCCACACCCATACCCACACCCTGCCCGCCCGAGCTCTGCACTGTCGCCAGCCTCAGCCCCACGCTCTGTGCTCCTGCCTAGCTGCAGCTCCATCCCTGATCCCACCACTTCCCTTCCTGCTGCCCAGAGTGAGCAGGACACCAGAGAAGCTGAGCAGGTCCCTGGCAGCTGCAGCAGCAGCTTTGCCCAGAAGCTGCGTATTGGCTGGGCCAGGCCCTTCCACCCACAAGGGCACAATAGGCTATGCTGAGGCATGTATATACACAGATGCCTCACTCCTGCCCTCATGGGTGGAAGGGCTGGGCAGGGTACAGTTTGTTGGTGGGTGCCATGGGCTGATGAAACTGCCTGGTGGGCTGGATCTGGCTTGCAGGCTGTATGTTGCTGTCCCCTGTCTTAAGACATTTGAGCTGTGAAATGGGATCTGGCTGTATGAATCCTGCCAATTCATCCAATCCCTATTCATTCTTAACCCTTTCTTATCATTCATATCTGTCCTAAGAGAAGTCTGGAAAAAAGAAAAACGAGTTTGCAGCATGACCTGAAATTTAAAAAAAATTTGGTCTCCAGCAGGGTGGATTTGATTTAAATCAAATCAATTTAAATCATTATTTAAATCACTGTTTAAATCACTGGTCTGAAAGCTTCTGTATAATCATTGTTTTCTACAAAAAATGCATTCTTATTTTTTGATATCCTCTGTTCATTTAACTTTTTGAAACTTTGCACTTTTAGAGAGTGGTAAGGGCTTGACTCTGTGTACACAAACTTGCAGAGAGATAACAGGGCTGACGGGTAAGTAATCAGGTCTGTTCTGTCTCATCTCTACATACTGCTGTTAATATTATCTCTGGAGACACAAATCCACAGTTTGAGAACTGAAACTAAGCATCACAGAGATTCTAGATTGAGCACTGAGTCCCATTGGATAGAGTGGTCTTCTTTAATCTTTACTAATCTGTAGAAGAGCCTCTGGGAATCCCATAAGATTGGGCCTCTTTTATAGTTCATGGCCTGTTGTGACCTACTTATAAAACTTTTCTAAAAAGGTTACATGAATTGATTGTTTCAAATAGTATATAATTAGAAGTTATAACTACTATTCCATGATGATATCTTTGAGCTTTAACATCTCTTAAATTAAAACTATCTTTATATAGGTTTTTTTTTAATAAAAAGCATCTTAAGAAAAAATATGATTAAATAAAAATAATTATTTAAGTAAAAAATCAGATTTTTTTTTAAATTTTGTAAAAAATAAATAAAATTGATTTTTATCCACCCTGGTCTCCAGCAAATGGAAGTGTAAAATTAATTCTGCATTTGCGGACTTTACACAGAAAGGGTCCTCTTTTTTATCCTTCAGGAAGTTAAGTAAAGAACCTTCTATGATCTCAGCTGTCATCATTTGGTGAGGTGTAGATGCCTTTGGTAGTAATCCTGATCTAGCCCATTTGAAGTCTTTGCAAGTTAAAACCAGTAATTTTTAAATTAATAGCACAAGGAAATAGGAAGCTAGTGTAGTTTTCAGAACCCAGATGTAACATGCTTCTGATAGGAATAGGCTGATGTTGAAATGATTATTCTTTCCATTATGTGAACAAAATTTAAATTAATTTTAGCGTCAAAGCCAAAAAGATTTGAGGTTAAAAATGTAGACTAAGGAGTATTTATGACATTGAGTGTGATTTTCATTGCAGTTTCAACCTTATGTATAATTCTCAAGCACTAGACATCTTAGGATCATAGGAAGTAGGGCTGGAAGGGACCTTACAAGGTCATCTAGTTCAAACCCCTGTTCAAGGCAGGATCATACCTGACTAAACTATCTCAGTCAAGTGTCTGTCTAACTTGCTCTTGAAAACTTTCATGGTTTGAGAGTCTACAAGTTCTCTAGGTAGCTAACATATGAACTGCCGTTTACTGCATTAGACGGTAGGTCCAACTTGCCCAGTATCCTGTGTCACAGTGGCAGAGAGTGGATGCTTAAAGGGAGAGTGAGCTGGGTATGACCAGGGTTTTTTTGGTACTGTTCTTCTCTCATTTGTAGCCTCCAGCATTAAAGTTTAGGAAGTTCTAATTCAGAGGCTGTATCCCCAACTGCCATCAATAGCTACTGATGCATCTTTCCTCCAATAATTTGTCTCGTCCCTGTTTGAATATAGATAAAATGTCAGCTTCCACAACATCTT